TTATAAATATTTATATATATATAATATTAATATTATAGATATATTTATTATATATTATAATTTATATATGTGTATATATATTATAATATTATATAATTATACTATAATTATTTCTATGATTTACATAATATTTATAAAATATATTATATTATTTACATAATATTATATATAAATTATATCATATAATATTAAATATATATATATATATGTGGGATTCGTGAAAAAAATTGGACTGCTGAAAACTGACTGACCGGGATTCGAACCACGGATCTTTCGCTTTCCGTCGACTGCTCTTTAACCAATTAAGCTATCCAGGGCCTACTAACTAATCCTTTCCACGAATGCCTAATAAGTTCGGCATGGAGGCGCTCGTCCCACATATATATATAATATTAATTGATTATATAATAAATGTATATTATATTATATATATTTATTAAAAAAATATATAAAAAAATAATTAATATTAAATATAAATGATTTATTTTCATATAACATTTTATTTTTAATTACAAATGTGTGTGTGTGTGTGTTAACTACCAATTAAATGGATTTATTTGATAAAAATAAATGAATAAATAAAATAAATAATGAAATATATTCAACGAATGACATAATAATTATCGAGTTATTTTTGTTATTATACTGACACGAATGAATAAAATGAAATAAAAATCTACTCAAAAAGAAATAAAATTCTTTAATATGACTAATTAAAAATTCAAATCTTTCAAGATATTCAAATAAAATTTAATTTATTAACAAATCGTTATTTAGGATTTCGAATCAATTGAATTGCAAAATAATCAAAGGTCAACAACGGTTTATAAAAAAAAAAAAATACTATAAAAATACATCATAAGACAAATATGTTATACACGTTTGTCGTCTTGTGTAAAATAGAGAATAAAAAAAAAAGAGAAAAAAAAAAAAGAAAACAAGATGAAGAATTCAAAAAATAACCTAAAAATACATTCTCACAGCAATTATCAATCAAATTATTCAGAATACAAAAGGAAAGTGATAAACGTTGAATGAAAAATCATTTCTGTCTCGTTTAGTTTCCAAATGTAAAAGTAATACGAATCGATCGAACACGAATAATTGTCGTATTAATTTGCCTAAATAAAAGAAAAAAGAATTTGCAAAAAGGGTTGAACTTTAAATGTATCCACATGACAGTTCGCATGCATGCTTGATCGTTGAAGAAGTGTTAAACTACGAGATTACTTTGAAAATTGTTTTGCCAAGAGTGTGACATATATAATGACAAGCTTAAAATGTCACGAAAAAGATTTCTATCTATGATACATCCTACACAAACATACACACACATATATATCTAACCACATATGTCAGTATACGTATGAAGTATTATACCTGCAAGTATACGTGTAAGTATACACATGCAAGTATATTTGTAAAAGTGTAATAAATATATTGGGATTTTTAGCACTTGAATGCGCTATCTGGTGACTAAATTGAAAATTAGAGTAGATAGGTCGAATTGCTACACCACGTAAGATCTCTAGCAATTGAATACGCAATCTGGTGGCTAAATTCAAAATTAGAGTAGGTAGGTCGAATTGCTACGTCACGTGGGATCTCTAGCACTTGAATACGCTATCTCGTGGCTAAATTCAAAA